CTTTTTCTTTGTTTTTTTCTTTTTTTTCTTTTTCTTCTTTTTCTTTACTTTTTTGTTTTTTTTTTGCTCTTGTTGCTCTTTCTTATTCTCATTGCTTTAATTTCTTTTTTCTTTTCTCTTTTTGTTCTGATTGGATCTTCACACTTGACACTTGGTTCAACTTTTGGTATCTCATCTGAATTAATTATCTTCACTCATGTGAGTAGATTTCTTCCACCTTGCCCCCCCAGTGTGGAGGGTGATCCTTAGTTAGGGTTAAATCATAAGAAAAAATATTATAGGCTCAAAAGGGGATAACAAGGGATATATATATACATATATGGTTAAATGAAACAAAGCCGTTCATCATCTCATACACAAAAGTCCTCGCAGAAGAGATATCCCCAGGGGGATAGATTTTTAGAATTAATTATATTCACATGAAAAAAATGTAATTAATGCATGATAGAGTTATTTTGAATTCATTCTCCTTTCTGATTCTTGCTCCCAACATGTCTTAATTGTTTAGGCTCAACTTCAGAAAATGGAAGCGAGATGCCCCCTAAGTTGTATCTTCTGGTATGAAAGTTCATGTTCAAGTGAACATCTTGTACTCAATGCCTTCGGTTTTATTGGTAAAAATGTTGGTTTTACGTCTAAAAAGATGATGGTGTGACTTTATTGACTCAAAGGTATCAATATGACTCTTTGTATATCCATGAATTATTCTGGGTAAAGAATTGAGGGATTTTTTTTTGTTTTAGATAGGATAAGAAAGGTCTGATCTTGCCATATTTCAAAAATCTATAATTCTTGAAGAATTAAAAGAATCCTTAATTCATTCAATATTCGAAGAACTAAAGATTAAAATTTGCTCAATTATTCAACCTTAGAAGGTAGCATAAGTTCAGTCACTTAAAACATTAAACAAGTATAAAAGATAGAACAAAAATGATTTCAAACAAAACAATGATCTCAACGCAATGGTAGATGCAATGCCCCCATCATTTTCCGATTATCCATGCCCCTGAATCAATCAAGTTTTGGATCTTGCGCTTCAGTGCCTCACAATTCTTGGAGGAATGTCATGAGCTTCCTATGTGGTAACTGTGCATGATCGTAACCATCGGGATATGGGGACTCTTTTCTTAAATCATTCTGGAAGGCTTAGTCCTACAATCAGCTAAACAGGCTCTAACTGTACTGATTTCAACTTCTTGATTTTATGTAGTGTCACGTGGTAGGACCACTTTATAGAATCCTCCATGAATTAGCTCTATTTTTTTTTTATGAATTATGCATGTAAAAATGCTTAAATGAATGTTATGCAGAATGTAAATGCATAGACCAAATGCAAATGCAAAAGGTGTTAATTCCCAAAGTGACCACTTATAGAACAACCTTCATTTAGACAACAAGAATTCAATAAGTTCACCATGTAGTCAAAATACAATTGTGATTCTTCATCTCTTCATCTCCTTGAACCGTACTCTTCATGGAATCTAACATCGCACCCCAAAGTTATCGGCGTATTTTATTACCTTTGATGATGTCGGATGTCCTTAAATTGAATCTTGAAATCTCCATTCTTACCTCCAATGCAAACTGGTCTTCATGTCTTTATGAAGGGTCTTCTCGTCCTTAGTATGATTGTATCTATCTTCTGAGATAACATCTTAGTCTCGGTGCCTTTAAAGGTAGTATTCAATCAACTTCAAACTTCTTCATTCATCGGATCTCCTTCTATATAGGTCTGTCTTCAATCAATTTCAGATTTCTTCAGTCATTGGATGTCCTTCTTAATGAATCATTTAAACATCTTTGGATCTCCTGGTTTTGACTACATGGATGAGAATTTCTTGCCTCAATATGGTCAGCCTTCTTATTAGTCAATCACTTGCGAATTAACACCTTTAAATGACATGAAGATGCAAATGCAATAAAATCACAATAAAACAGACACACACCAAAAATGGACATATAAGATAAACAACAAGATAATAAGTTTACTAAACATCAAATAAAACCTACCCTCACATGTTGGCTACTCAATCATGCTTTAGTAAATCCTACCCAACATGATATCTACCCACATGCTTTGTTATTCACAACAAACTCTAACCTCATGATATCTAATTTACATGCTTCGTACGGAAAACATAAAACATAACCGCATGTTTTTCTAGTTCTCATACTTCTTGCAAAAATAAATTTGAGGAAAATGTTAGAATGTGTTTTCCCTTTGTGTCTGTAGACAGAGATTCGGAATAAGACGAACAGAGGTTTGGTATCACTAATAGGGTCCTCAAATTGTCCTTTACTGGTGCCCCCTTGGGCTTGCCAGACCCTCGATCCTCACCCATTATAGGCTTAAAACGGATCGAGTTCGATTCGAGAGGATACATTTCCCTATATCCATGCGAGGAAACTCAATGTTTCACTCGTAAACATAAGGCATGTACCCTAGAGGTTACTTGCTATAGCCCATGCGGAGAAAAGCAATTTTTCTCACGTAAGCGTAGAATTTACCCCCTACATAACGGGATAGAGCATAGTTAGAAGAATCCAAATATCGAAGGGTTATAGCGACAGTGGGGGAAACTCATAATCCTTTGCCTCGATCCAAGAAAATCAACAGACTAAAGTGAAGGTCAGAAAACTGAAACATGTAAATCACACGTTAGTACAACTATTTATCAAATTACAAATTAAATGCAAACAAAAAATTAAACACAAATAAGGAATCAAATACCAAATTAGAACGTACTTATAAATTTCAGTTGCAAAGACAATTAGTTAATCGACTATTAGTCTGACTCTCTAAAAAAATTCTCCAGAGTCGCCAAACTGTCGAAACTGTTTTTAGGTTGGAACAATCGTTTAATTGTTTAGAAAACAATTACGACTTTTATTTTTGGAAAATTCGGTGATTTTGGATCAATTTGGATAAAGTTGAAAAGAGTCACCATCAACATTTGGGTTAGGTAGGTCGAATACCTAAAAGCGTCTTTTAAAAACAATTTTAAGAAAAATCATTTTTAAGACAAAAGCTAGTATGCGTTTACCAAGATTTGATAAAAAATGGGTTCGAAAGTCGATTACGCGTGGGGAAGGATTAACACCCCCACAGGCACAGCGCCCTAAATCGGTACCTAGTCGATTAATTAATGTCTTTGCAATGAAATTTGCAAATTCGAATTTAATTTGATTTATGATCCCAACAAAATAACAACATACGAATTTCACCATATTAAAAAACACTCAGATTGATTAAGTTAAAATTATCCAGCCTTTAGAAAGTTAAAGAATATTAGATTATTTAAAAATATCGAGATCATATCTTAAATAGTTATAACAACATTTTCTCAATAAATTTAAATAACCGAACATTTTTTTTCTTCTATTCCCAAATTTTAAAGTGATGAGTCAATTTTTTAGGTGCCACTAATGGGATACACTTTTATTTTAAAATCGTTAAAAGTGTATCTCGAATAAGTTAAGACAACCCATTTAAAATGATTTTAAATTAAAAGGATATTACTCTTAATTCAATTATGTAATAATGTCGAGTTATGCACGTAATTATAACATGCGAGATTAATTAAAGATGGCATGTACCTAAATTCATATGTACAAGTAAATGTAACTATATATGTAATTTATAAACATATTAAAAAAATAATAGTAATTAAATATGACTAAAAAAATTTAAATACACGTATATCTAACTATTTTAATGAAACGTATAATAAATCCATTATTAATAAATACATATTATTTAACCATGGAAGGAAATGAAATGGGGAACATTATGAATAAGGGTGTGCAAATCTGGGTACTAGGATTTTCGGGTACTCGATTTTCGGGTATCCGGAACTTCTGGGCCAGCGATTTCTCGGCCCGTGTCTTGATCTGGATGTTACGGGTACCTGGTAATCGGGTACCCGGATTTTGCGGGCACCCGGTAATCGGGTACCCGGTACCCGATACCCAGTTTTTTAATTTTTATTTTTAAATTATTAATTTAAAAAATATATACACAAATTTAAATATTCAAAACTTCGAATTACATACTCTAATATCCGAACATAAAATTTAAAATTTCGAAATACAAAATCTAATAATCCATAATATAAATAATTCATTATATTTTATATAATTGTATAAAAAAAAACTAATCGGGTACTCGGGTAACCGGGTACCCGGAAAAACTAGATTTTATGACCCGGGCCCGACCCAGGAAATGTCGGGCCGGGTACCCGACCCGGTCGAGTAATTTTTTAAAGAATTACCCGATTTTTTTAGTTTCGAGTCGACGGGTCAGGTCAACCGGGTCGGGTAATTTTACACACCCTTAATTATGAGGTCAACATGCATTCAAAAGTTATTTACTTAAATATACGTTAATAGCCACATATCACAATATAAATATATTTACCATATATGTTACAATAAAACAAATGAGCATAATTAGGAAAGAAACATATTTCATAAAAAATTAATATACAATTACGGAATTTATGCAAATACATGGGAAAAATTATAAATTTAAAAGGAATGAAAAGTGAGTCAAATCGATAAAAAAAAAGAAATTAAAATGAAATTGAGATAAAATTAAAGGGTATATTATTAAAAGTAGATCTCATATTATATGAAACATATACACCTACTATATATAAAATGTATGTATAAAAAGAACCTAACATATATATACTAATACACTGATAGATTAAAATGCAATTTAATCAAACTTTAAGTACGGAAACCAGAATAAACCCTAAACATAGAGGATTAAAATAGAAAAATTCAAAATATCAGACCAAATGTATAAACAAACAAAAAAATAATTTGACTATAATCAAGGACCAAAATAACACTTTCTTAAAATATGAAGATAAAATTAAAATATTAGGAAACATACGTGACTATCTAAAAAATAAACCCAATCTCACAAAATGAAATACCATGTATCCCATTTAAACTATGTTGTTTCATCCCAAAAAAAAATCAAATATTAAATTAAACTCTAACCTAATAACTAAACCCCCATCACTGCTAAATCAATCCCACCAACGCAGATTCTCTTCCCCTCTTCAACTCTCTCTTTTCTCTTGTACTTTCTTTCTTTCACTCATTATTTCTCCAATCCGGCTACCATGGTCGAGGAACTTGAAAGCCCTCCTCGTCGGCCAAGGTAAGTTCTCTTTCTCGCTCTTCGATTTTTTTATTATGCTAGAAATCAAAATAAAAAATAAGAACAAAATACCTGAAATTTTTTTATGTTTTTTTTATAAAAGAACAGACCCTCCCTTGTTGTTGCCCCCTGTTCGAATCGTTTCCTGTTGTTGTTCGAATGGTTGCTCCCCTGCTCGAATCATTGCCCCTCCTTTTGCTTCGAATGAGTCTCCAATTATAACTGCTGTGTAGTGGATTTTCCACTGATTTTCGGTCAGTGGTAAAGCATGATAGAATTTCTGGAATTTTTATTTGTTTTAGTGGATTTATTAGGTCTGATTTTTTTATATTTTTGGGTGCTATTTGGCGTAAGGAATGACGATGGTGATGATAACTGGCTCGGCAGTGCTGAAGCATTCGGATGGAGCGTGCACGGTTGCGGCTGGATGGTCACGGGCGGCAGCAGCTTTTTTCAACTGTTGGAGGCGGCAGCTTGATGTTTTAGGGTTTCAAAACCCTAATTGAAGATGGGTCTACACTGGGCCAATTGCTAGGCCTGGTTCAGGTCTTGGTCACTTGTAATATAATAGGGCTGCTTGTATTGGGCCTGCAGTGTAAATAAAATGATATTATTAATAATACTAATAATAAGAATAATGATCACAATATAATATATAATAATAAATATAATATATATTTTAATCCCCAATCAAAAAATGGGTGTCTACAATTTCTAAACTCGATCCGAATACGGTAAAAAGTCGGTAATCGAATATGACTTAGATGACTCGTATAAGAAATTGGGGGACCTATAGAATTTAATTATACGTTATGTGATTAAGTGGTAAAGTAACTAACCTCGGGATCTGTTAATTATGATTTATCTCATTAAATGTTAAATGCAAAAGGTATTTCGATGAGAAATTGTGACAATATTTTAGTTGAGTAAAATTATGAAAATACCCTTATGGGGTAAAATTATGAAAATACCTTTGTAAAAATAATATGTATTGATTTTAATAGTGGAATTACCTTGAGAATCTTTATTTTGACCCGATAAAATTTATGATGTACTTGTCAAATCCTAATTTATCTGGAAAAAAATATTTAATCAGTTTTAAACCTTAGAGAAAGCACACGGCCTATAAACTTTGCTTCTTGAATAAACAATTGAAACCTAAGTTATCAGAAGTAATGCCACTGACAGAATTGAATAAAATAACGATAATACATGTCGTAATAGGTTTTGCCCGGGCACGAAATTTCTTGGCGGAAAAATAATGGTGAACAAATAAATGGTTTTTATTGAAATGTTTGGGGAGTCGCCATCGGCCTTTTTGGTAAGTTATGTCGAATATCTAAAAAAGTCATTGTTTAAAAGAGTTTTTAAGAAAACACCAGTTAAAAGATAAACCGATCTTCGTTTAACCAAAAATTTGTTTTTTTATAATAAAAAGGGATTCGTGGTCGTTACATTTGGGGAAGGATTAGCACCCACAATGCCCAAAATTGGTCACTGTCGATTATAAATTGTCTCTAACAGTATAAGTTTAAGAATTCGAATATAAATTTAATTTATGATCCTCTTATTTCAGATTCAATCGAAAAATTCTTAAAATAAAATAATTTTTATAAAACTAAATAGAATATATTTTTAGGGTTTTATAAATACAATATTTATTTATTTAAAAATATCAGAAAAGAACATCTAGTTACTTTAAGACAACCCCTTTCTTTGATATTAAAAAACAAAATAAATATAAAAAATAATAATTTTCCTAAGAAAATAATTTAAATAAAACAATATGTATTTTCTGGTTTTTATAAGTAGGATATTTATTTATTTTTAATATACCAGAATAGGACATCTAGTTATATTAAGACTACCCTTTCTTAATATTTAAAAATAAATACATATTATTATTTAATCAAATATATATATATATATATATATATATATATATATGACTAAGCTAAAAATAATAATAAATTAATAATTAAAGTACTAATTTAAATATATTAGAATTTAAAGGATAATAATTAAAATGTAATTTAAACAGTGACTATAATAGAGAAAATTAAAACTATAGGAATAAATAAAAAATTAAGAAAACTTATGGTAAAAAATTAAAATCAGTGATTAAATTATAAGATATAAAACCTAAAGCCCTAATTCAAAATATTATAAAATTTGAGTACTAACAGTGTGATTTAACCTATATTAATTTTTAGGATTAAAATATTAAATATTAAAATCTAAGGGACTAAATATAGTATTTACCCTAAATATGCAAATATAATGGCAATGACTAAAATAAAAATAAAATAAAATAAAATTAAAATGTCTAGAAAATTAATTCCAGTGACTAAATTGCAAAGATTACAAACTGGGATGACTACGGAAAGAGTTTTTCCACGCATAAAATTTCGAACACACCCCTCATCAAAACAGTGTCAAAACGACACCATTTTGATGAGGTGTTAATACCCTTTAAACCGGCCCTAGGGGCCAATGTTCTCATTTTCTTTCTTCTCTCTCTCTCTCTATAAGGAGAGAATTCCTCTCCATTCTCTCTATACTCTCTTCCCGTTGAGAGAACCAACCACCAGCCGAAAGCCCTGATCCATCGTCAAGCGCCACCGTCAACCACCGTAAACGGTGGCCAAAATTTACAAATTTACCCCAAAATGAAGCTGTATTTATCCTAAAGCTAGATCTTAGGTTGTTTTAGCCTAAAACACTACCTAACAACGTAGATCTATAATTGTTTTACCTTCGACGCTGTTCGCGTGTTGTGAGTACTATAAATTATATGCAAATAATGTGCAAGTATACACAATCGCTTAAGTAATATAATGATGAGTGAGTATCGTCTCCACAGGGATTGGGTGAAATTACAAAAGTCTAACCAAAGCAATGCACTATTCTATCTAAGTATAGTTAGTTTTGATATATACAAATGTCACGGCAATGTAATAGTGTATGCTGGTGGATATGGAGTGATGGTCTGATGGTGTAGCAAATGGAAATGCAATGGCAATGGTGGATGGTTTAATGTTGAGTATGGTGAAATGTCAAGGCAATGAAAAATGGTAAAAACAGTAAATAAAAAGAGAATAGAATGTAAAGAAAATAATCCTCACGTGACAAGCTTCCAAGAGAATGAATGGTAGGGATTGATCTAAGGTTGCTAAACTTATTTCTCAAGTATATTTAAGCTATCTGGTCTTTACTTACTCAAAAGAGCTTTCCTAAAGTGTTCAAAAGAACCTAACAGAATAGGATGCCAAGGCATCTGCTCTCACTCAACGATGTTGGCCAGCCTACCCTATTGATAAAGACACCCTTTTTAGTCGTTGAAATCCTATCCTAGTCTCTTCCGAGATCTAAGGGATTAAGTTATAATATTCCTAGGCCGGTTCAAAGCCCCTTGAAAATACTATAACCCATTGCTTATGAGGATCTTATCTTGCGTTTCTTTCGAATACTTACAAGTATTTTTAGTCTAGGATTCTTCCGAATACCTAACCTTCATCTAAGAAATGGACATTTCCATGCCTCTTACAAACCTAGATGGTGAAGCATTCATAAGCAAAGCAAATAAAGAACCAAAATAAACTTAAATAAACCATTAAAAATAAAGTTCAAACAACCATTAAATCAACCACCACCAAATAAGTTAGTTCATGGTGGGGTTCAAAATATCCAAACACAAAGTCATGAAAATATTTGTTCCAACAACCCACAAATAAATATAAAATAGCAGCAAAAAGGGAAGTTGAGAAGAAGCCTTCGACGCGCCACGGAGGTCTCCTATTGGCCACTGTGAACCACCTAACTCGCTAGCTCCTTTCGGTGCCTAGCTTGCCACTCCTTGGAGCTTTATCAATGGAGGAATATCCCAAGGAAGAAGAAAGGAAAAAGAAAATAAAAATCTGATTTTTGCTACAATATGTGTGTGCGTGAATCCTCCTTTTTTCTCTCCCATGAGGTGTCATATATAATAAAAAATATCTAGGGGTAATGATGATATTGTTGGGTGCAAAATACCCCTCATACCCCTAGAATCACATGTTGAGCGTGAATGTTATCCTCCAAGTGGCAGTGGTCCTCTGGCGGCTCTGGAAGGCGGTTACAGCAGTCCTTCACGTACAGAGATAGTTGTCTAGTGCCACCTTTCCTTGTGCAGAAATATCTTTTTTTTTCTTTTACTACGCCAGAAATACCGAGGCATTTCATTCTGCTTTAGCAACGTATGATGCCGCGACATTGCTTCCCAAAGAATCCTTTTTCTTGCTATTCCCTGCACACCATAAACAAACTGCACCTTTCCCTCAAGCAGCACCATTAAGAAATAAAATAACACTACCACCACAAATGCAACTATATGCAACTACATGATCCTAAAATGCCTAAAATGATCTTTTAAACAAACAATAACTTAAGTGAAAAAGGCCTTAAAAGTAGCCTTTTTAGGAAGTTATCATACCCCCAAACTTAAGCTATTGCTTGTCCTCAAGCAATGTATAGCAATTACATAAGTAAATCGTGTAACATTTTCACAAAGCATCAAGCCCTAGAGTGAGTTCTATCATTCTCAACAGTCATTTACATTTAGAATCTAGCCTAACAAAAATCATCATGATCGGGTATTCTAAAAACATTCTATCTGACTATCCTACCATTTACTGATGCCATGGCATTATACTACGCTAATGCTATCATGCATATGACCTACCAAGAACAATACCTCCCCCAAACTTAAGGGAAGCATTGTCCTCAATGCTTATACTAAACTAAATATAAACTAAATGCCATGCAATGAAATGCAACTAAATTATAATGAATGCAAAGGAGGTACCTCAATGTTTGTGTGGTGTTGGTGCCTTGGAGGTGCTAGCAACTCCTTGCTTAGTGCGCTTGCGTATTGGTGCTGGGCTGGACTCGGAAGAAGTGGAGTAATGACGCACAGTTCGTCCAGCCATTGTCTTGGTGCGTCGACCACTACGTGGTGCAGGAGAAGGATTGGGTGCTGGGATAGGGCTAGGTGTTTCTTCGAAAGGGAAAGTGGGTGGATATTCAGGAGTTTCAGAATGGTGCGGAGCAGGAATCAGATCATCAGTGTGAGGATCGACTGCATTTTGTTCGGGCTCTGGAGATACCTCGGCATTAAATGCCGGTAGAATTTCGTCTGGGAAGCCAGGGAAATTCCGTTGACCGTAGGGAATAATTTCTTGAAACATTGATTCCACCACAGTATCTCTATGCTTCACGTATCCAAAGAAGTTACGGATATTACCGTGTAAAGCATGCAGGTGTGTCTGAGTCTGCATCACAGCTTCCTCGAGAGCAATTAGCCTTACCTCGGCATTTGATTATGTAGTACCTGCAGATTGATCATGAGCAGATTCTTTAGATTTAGGATTTTCAAGTCCTAATAGCAGTGGGAGTCTGGCTCTAGTAATGCCCAATAATCCAGGTAAAATTTCATTAAAAGCATTTTCCTCAACCTTTTTCTTACGACATAAGGCAGTAATTAAGCTAGGAAACACTAAAGAACTTGCCTTTTTACTTAAGCAGTCATGAACTTGCTGAATAATAATACGCCCAACATCAATAGGACGGGACACCATTATCGAATGTA